ATGTTTAATCTGGTGCCAGTCTAATTCTTTCTCCTTTGTAAGTAACTTGGCTATCTCTTTACAGAAGACTTTTGAGTGTTTTCTTTATTTCAGAGCTCAAGAATTGTATAAATGTATGTCTATATGGTATCTTTTCACATCAAATACATGTGAAACAGCACTTAAAATTTATAGACTCAAATCTTTCTAAAAATCAGGATAAGATTATTTTTTATTTTATTTTTTTTTTATAAATTAATTTTTATTGGTGTTCAATTTACCAACATACAGAATAACACCCAGTGCTCATCCCGTCAAGTGTACCCCTCAGTGCCCGTCACCCATTCACCCCCACCCCCTGCCCTCCTCCCCCTCCACCACCCTAGTTCATTTCCCAGAGTTAGAAGTCTTTATGTTCTGTCTCCCTTTCTGATATTTCTCACACATTTCTTCTCCCTTCCCTTATATTCCCTTTCACTATTATTCATATTCCCCAAATGAATGAGAACATACACTGTTTGTCCTTCTCCGGTTACTGTGGCCAAGTTCAAAAAGGGTGTTGCCTGAGTTCTCCTCTGGGATTTTGATGGAATCTTGTCTCACATTTAGATCTTTCATCCATTTTGAGTTTATCTTTGTGTATGGTGCAAGAGAGTGGTCCAGTTTCATTCTTCTGCATGTGGATGTCCAATTTTCCCAGCACCATTTATTGAAGAGAGTGTCTTTCTTCCAGTGGATCGTCTTTCCTCCTTTATCGTATATTAGTTGACCATAAAGTTCAGGGTCCACTTCTGGGTTCTCTGTTCTGTTCCATTGATCTATATGTCTGTTTTTGTGCCAGTACCACACTGTCTTGATGACCACAGCTTTGTAGTACAACCTGAAATCTGGCATTGTGATGCCCCCAGATATGGTTTTCTTTTTTAAAATTCCCCTGGCTGTTTGGGGTCTTTTCTGATTCCACACAAATCTTAAAATAGTTTGTTCTAAGTCTCTGAAGAAAGTCCATGGTATTTTGATAGGGATTGCATTATACGTGTAAATTGCCCTGGGTAACATTGACACACAAAGAGATGGAAAAATATTCCATGCTCATGGATTGGCAGAATTAATATTGTGAAAATGTCAATGTTACCCAGGGCAATTTACACGTATAATGCAATCCCTATCAAGATTATTTTTTATAAAGTAGTTTCTTTTCATAATTATTTTTCTCCCCCCACCTTTTCTTTTTTCTGAAACTCCTTTCGTTTACAGGTTAAATGTTCTGGGTCTTTCCTCCACAGTTTCATAACTTCTCTTTGTATTTTTAAAAAAATTTCCCACTAGATCTTGAAAACTATGAATTCTAGTCTCAACATTCATCATTCCTTCAACTTATCTACTAAATATTTTAACTTAAAAATCTTATTTCTTAGTTCCAGGAAGTTTTTCTTAATGTTGTTTTTATACCTCTTCAAATACTTACTATTCTTCTGCTTCCCCCAACAGTTCATTATTGATATAGTGTTCTGGTTGCTCTCTTCATTCTTGCTTTCTCGTTGTTAGACCTGCTTATTAGATATCCTTTTATTTTCCTCTGTTCATTGTGGCACAAGTCCAGCTGCTGTATACTTTAAGTGGACTAGTCTTATGAGAGTGGGAAGGCACAGACATCTTAGTCATCACAGGCCCAAAATAGGCAAGTTGCCGTTTATGTATTGAGACACCAGGAAGGAGCCCTTCTTTTGCATTAAGGTAGAGAAAACTCAGCCCCCCACACTTCTTGAGGGCCAGAGGATCAGGCACATCCAGGAGTCCTGTGATCATTGAGGGACAGCCCTACCAAAGGCCTGTACATGCAGGTCCTTGCCTTAGAGTTTTCCTGCTATATTCCCAAAGTTTTGTTCAGCCCAGAGTGAGAAAATACCACAATTATCTAGTTCACACCCTCTACCCAAGTGCCAATCCCAGTGTCTGCCTGACTCAAGAAAAGATGATATGTTTGACCTGAGTTAGAAGTGGAGAAGATATAATGGGGGATATAATGATAAGCATAAAAATGATACATTCCCTGTCCTAATGTTGGTTGTGGGCTTGTTGGGAAGATAGACAGTATCTAAGTAAGCAAGCAAGCAAGCAAACAAATACATGAGTAAGAAATAAAAAAGAAAATGAAACCCACACATAACTGAATTCACAACCGTTATTAGTGCTATGGAGGAAAGGTGAATAGAAATATGGGCTGAGATTCCAAGAAAAGTAGGCATTAATTGTACAGTGAGAGAAGAAGAAAAGACCTACAGGCAGAGAGCAGTAGATTCAAAGACTTTGGGAGTAAGCATGGCAAATCTGAGGAAGCAAGGGAAGGCCAGCATGGGTGGAGTAAACAAAGCAAGGAAAAGGAGAATGTGAAAAAAGCTGAAGAGGAAGGTAATACCTATGGGTCAGACTATACTATATGATAGACAGTATTGTCTTTCCCTAAAAGCAGGTGGCTGTTGGAATGTTTTACTTCATGGATAAAAATAATCTGATTCGCATTTTCAGGATTCTGTGTGGAGAGCAGATTTAGAGGAGCCATGTGATGCCAGGAGACCCACGAGGAGGCCACTATAATATTTGAAGGAGTGTGATGGCAGTCAATGTACAGGAAATGCACTTTAGGTGGTCAAGTGAAAGAGGGTATGAGAGAGTGGAAGGCAGGGAATGTCAAGCTGAAATCACCAATTCAGTCCTTCATGTCAAGGTGCCTTTGAGATGGTCAAGTGGAGAAGTCAGTGGACATTATGAATCTGGGGAGGTCTTGAGCAAGAGATATAAATTTGTGAGCCATCTTAGTTTAGGTATAAACTAAGGCTCTTAGGCTTGAATGATAATACCCTGGAAGAGAATAAGACCCTAAGTTCTGGTATTCTACTAGTATTGTCTAAATTGGATTACCTCTTCTGGAGGGGTAATGGGTAGTGCATATCAGTATCTTAAAAAATGACTGTAACTTTGATCCTGTAACTCTAATTATAGGAATCTATACTCAATTTTAGACAGAAGGACACCTACAACCTGAAAATAAAAGGTTGGAGAACCATTTACCATTCAAATGGTTCTCAAAATATACCCTAAAAACTATAGAACACTTCTGAAAGAAATTGAGGAAGACACAAAGAGATGGAAAAATATTCCATGCTCATGGATTGGCAGAATTAATATTGTGAAAATGTCAATGTTACCCAGGGCAATTTACACGTATAATGCAATCCCTATCAAAATACCATGGACTTTCTTCAGAGACTTAGAACAAATTATTTTAAGATTTGTGTAGAATCAGAAAAGACCCCGAACAGCCAGGGGAATTTTAAAAAAGAAAACCATATCTGGGGGCATCACAATGCCAGATTTCAGGTTGTACTACAAAGCTGTGGTCATCAAGACAGTGTGGTACTGGCACAAAAACAGACATATAGATCAATGGAACAGAATAGAGAACCCAGAAGTGGACCCTGAACTTTATGGTCAACTAATATACGATAAAGGAGGAAAGACGATCCACTGGAAGAAAGACAGTCTCTTCAATAAATGGTGCTGGGAAAATTGGACATCCACATGCAGAAGAATGAAACTGGACCACTCTCTTGCACCATACACAAAGATAAACTCAAAATAGATGAAAGATCTAAATGTGAGACAAGATTCCATCAAAATCCCAGAGGAGAACTCAGGCAACACCCTTTTTGAACTTGGCCACAGTAACCGGAGAAGGACAAACAGTGTATGTTCTCATTCATTTGGGGAATATGAATAATAGTGAAAGGGAATATAAGGGAAGGGAGAAGAAATGTGTGAGAAATATCAGAAAGGGAGACAGAACGTAAAGACTTCTAACTCTGGGAAATGAACTGGGGGTGGTGGAGGGGGAGGAGGGCGGGGGGTGGGGGTGAATGGGTGACGGGCACTGAGGGGGACACTTGACGGGATGAGCACTGGGTGTTATTCTGTATGTTGGTAAATTGAACACCAATAAAAATTAATTTATTTAAAAAAAAGGAATCTATACTCAGAAAATAAGAGTAGTAAATGTCAAAGGCTTATGGATAAAAATATTCACTTAAGCATTATTTTTTTATTGTAAAAAGAAATTACCTAAATATCTAATATTTGAAAGAGGTTAAGTAAATTATCATACATTTATATTAATGAATATCATACCATTCTAATTTAATGTTTATAAAGATGCAATGGCATAAGTAAATTACCATAATATCATAGTAAGTAAAAAAAGGACTCAAAATTGACAGAAAGAAAGAGAAAAGGGAGTTGGGGAGACATCAGCTGTTTGAAAGATTGATAGGACAATAGTATAAAGAAATAAGTTTATCTGTAAACCGTGGAAAATGGATGATTGTCACCATTTTTATACATTTACCGAATTTCCAAATCTTTCTAGATGGGTGTATATTATACCTTATGTATTATTTTACTGTTAGGAGAAGAAATAAAAGTACAGTATTGTCCCAGTTATAAATATGCACTTTATAGGCATATCACTCTGTTAAATATTGGTTAATGTTTTTTTCTTTTCACAGTAGCTATGAGAATTTCTGCTTTCAATCTAAAATAGTATTTTTAGTTTGTAAGATTACTGTCATACCTTTTAAAATTTTATGAGCCATTTAGACTTATAAAATGGTTTCAGAAAATTGATTAATTACTAGGCAACAGCAGATCAATTCCTCTGGAATCTCTCTCACTTGGCACCTGTGTATCATCTTGAGAGTATTTGTATCTCCTTTACTTCTTATTGCTTAGCAGTGTAAGTGGTTCTGAATTCTTTAATTTGAAGTTTTAAAAAGATTACATAAAAATATAAGAATTTTCTAATTATTTTAAATACACTGAATTATTTTTGTTTTCCTCCAGTGACTGTCAGAGAATTATCCATTTGGACTGTCAATTGTATCATCATCGTCTGCAGTGATATAAAATCATTTTGAATTTGCTTCCAAACTAAAAGCATGATGTTTTTTTTTTTTTTTTAATTCCAGGAATGTATACAAAGACTATCGTTTCCTTGAGCTGGCGTGTGACTCACAGGAGGATGTAGACAGCTGGAAGGCATCTCTACTGAGAGCTGGGGTTTATCCCGATAAATCTTTAGTAAGTTGGATCTCTTTTTTTATGATTATTGACCATGTTTAAGAAGACATAATTCTATATACTATATAATTGTTAAACTGGTGGTCTTTTGGAACAGTTCTAAGTAATACTATCCTCAACATATTTCTTTTTCTCCATTAGTTTCTATTTTAGGAAGTTTATCAGTATATTTGCTAGAGAAAATGCCCTATTCTGCCATAAAACATAATATATGTTTTATGTCTGAGAATGTCTTTGTTTTAATTTAAAATTTTATTTTCCTTTACATGGTATTTCACAGTTGTTCTAGTATTCATACAGCTGTTTAGAACATTCTTCATAAAGTCATAATGTCCTAACACTATTTCATATCCTTAAAAATGTACTTATTTTTATAAAAATCTACCTCCCTTCATTAGGTCTGTAGTACCTGAGTCCAAAATCATATCTGTATTCAAACTCTGGTTAATGTCATTTGGAGTGTGAAAGAAGAAAAACATTATATTGCCATTCCTACTTATCTTTATAAATATACTTCAAGTGTTTGAAGTCACTTCTGTCATTCAAGTTAAGAAACAGAACTTCTATTTGTATTCTTTGGAAAATGTCTGTATTTAAATTTCAGAAGTCCCATCCAACACATGTACACACACCGTTAGACACTCTGTAGCTGATGGCTCTCCCTGCTTACTCCCTGTCCCCTTTCAGGTGTACTGTCCAGGTGTCTCCTCTAAATGCAAGTACTGGGGCTGAGCCTTGGGAATTGAGTCCAACTGGATCCTGTTGATGCTTGCTTGACTCTAAATTAGTTTATAAGACTGATCATGAACAAGTCAGGTCACTTCTAGGCTCCCAATAGGAATAGTCTTCTCAAGAGAAATTCTGAAATATGGGGCACAGATGGGGCCATTGAAGCATCTCTGGAGGAATTTTAGACTTGACCACATCCCTGAGGTTGCACTGGAATTTAACAGAGTTTCAGAGGTAAAGGATTGGGGATTTGTGTCAAAATGTTCTTCTCTTAGCTGTTATTTTAGCTCACATATAGATCTCTTAACCCCCACCCAATCTACACTTGCCTGGCTATCACCTAAAACAATGAATTCCCCACAAAATACCCTCTAAATGAGGTGAAAGAAGACCGTTTCCTGATGATACTCAAGTACAGAGTTGTCTGTATGATTTCCGTAATTGTCCAAATTTTATCAGTGGTGTACATATATATTTACATAGCTGTATGCTACTCCAAAAACTGTACATGAGAAATCATTTAAAAAATCAGAGTACTACTTATACTTTGGTTATTAATTCTAATCATTTATTATTACTCTTCCCTCTCCACTGATGGTACTGTGTTTAATTTCACAAATATTCTATATTAAAAATGTACACATGCTTACTTTTTTATTCATTCAGTCCACAAAAGCCTGTTGAGCACACGCTTTTTGCCAGGCACATTCTAGGCACCAGTGCTGTAGAGGTGAATAATAAGGTCCCATCCCCAAGGAGCAGACGTTAACAAGTAAATGAATAACTGAATAATTATATAGTGTGATTGTAAAAGAGTGATACAATCTATAAAAAACAAAGAAAGTGAAAGGGATAGTCAGTGAGGGGCAGGTAAGCTTTATTTTAGTACAGATGATAAGGAAAGGCCTCTTTAAATAGTTGTCATTTGAGTAGGCTCCTGAAGGAAGAGAGGGAATAAATGAAATGAAGAATATTTGTGGAGAGGACTGGCAAGTGCAAAGCCAGCTCAGTGTCTCAGAGGAGCAACAAACAAGTTAGTGACTCTGGAACACAACAAGGGAGGACAAAAGTGGTTGATAGTTTCTGAGACGGTGGTCACGGCAGATTATATTGGTCTCGAAGGATGGGGTGACCATTTGAGTTTTGTTTTGAGTAAGATGGGAAGCCATTGGACGTCCGGTTTCAAGCCAGTTAAGTGACATGATAAGATTGACATTGCTAAAAAATTATATGTTGATATGTTGAGTTATTACAAGGAGCCATAGAGCATGTGTGTTCAAGCACAGGTTCTAGTGTCAAACTACCAAGACTGAAGTTCCAGAAGTTCACATATAAGCTGTGATTGTCTAGCCTTTTTATATATCCAAATTCCCATTTCTAAAATGGAAATAACAGGAGTCCTCTGTAGCTTGGTTGACAGGATTAAGTTAAAGAATGCAGGGAAAGCACTGAATAGAGTGGGCACAAATAAGCCCTCTATTTTTATTTGTGATGATAATGATGATGATGGTGATAATTATCATTTTCATCACAGACTGCTTTCTTTAACAAGTAGATGAGAGCTGAAACAGTGTGGATGTTATAATGTAGCCCAGTGAGATCGTAAACACTTTATACTGTTTCCGATTTCCAAATAATGCTTGGTCGTATAAAATGTTAATGTGTGGATGTATGTCTTCTTACCATGCAACTGGAATGTTTGTGCAAATTTTTTTTTCAATTGTGATTTTATCAAATTTATTTTAAATGAAGTAGACAATTTTGCTATTTAAAGAAATGATGCAATATGCCTCTTATGAGGGAAAACTGTCTTGGGAAAGCAAAATTGCCTACCTATCTCTGGTGAACTGTTTTTACAAATTTGAATTTTCATGTGTACACCATAGCTCTGCATGAAGATGGTCAATGAAATATTCGTGATTTTTTACCAGAATACTCAATTTTAAGCAAATCCAGAATTGTTGAACAATCTGTTTGATTCTTTCACATCATTTTTTGTTTATAAATATACCTTTGGTATAGTTGCTTAGAAGGTCAAGACAAAGGGGTTTTTTACTATATGCCAAAGACATAACAGGAAATTAAACTTGGAAGTATGCCATGAACATTGCTTTTCTCAGTTTTCATCATAAACAATATTTGCATTTCTTATGCACCATGCAGTTCTAGAGGTTATATTACACGATTGCTTGACTTTCAGATGTTTAAATGGCAGCTAACTACTGAAAGCAATCTAAGTAGAATGCTTGTGTAAACATTCATTTTGTGAGCATGCTTAGATTTGGGGGAATGGATACTTATAGGTACAGTTATTCTAATTTAGAAAGATTTGATGAAAAAGTCAGATTAACCTAATAACAGATGTCTTTCTGTAAGTAAATTTTTAGGACTTCTGGTGTGTCATTTGGGTTTTGTATCAATAAACCATTGAGTTGACAGTAAATCAATCACTATTCTAAAAATGAAACATTTATTTGTCATATATGGACATAAGTCTAGACTCAAAAAGTTCTGCTTTCTACACAAAACATCTCTATTTTGACTGGGAAAAAAATCTACAAAGATCATTTGTAAAAACTGTATAATTTTGGCTTCATTTTGATAAATAGACGTCACTCACATTTTGGTTTGGGACAAATTTTTTTTCAAATAAGAATGCACACTTTTTAATGACATTCTTTCCCCCATCATATCTATTTTATCACATTCAAATGATTGAATGTTTTTGTCACTCATATCATAATGTTCTGCCACTTGGTTTTTTCTCTTAGGTTGTTTCTCTTGGAGTTTTCCTACAGATTTTTCTTTCTTTTTCTTCCATCTTTTTCTCCCCTTTCTTCCCAAACTTCATCTATCACTGCTATGGTGGACTCTAGAAATTCAAATATAAAAAGATGCAGTTCTTACTTTATAAGAATTTCAAGGCTAGTGGACGTGAGGGATGCAAGTAAATAATTACAGTGTGGTAGGAACTACAGTCCATGTCTGTATAAAATGCCACAGCCCAACTATATTTCCATGTGGACTTTCTAATTACCTCCAGACCCTTAATCTTTCTGGATCCAAAGTGAAATATAGACTTCTTTGAGCAGTGTAATGTGTGGCCCTAAAATGGAAATGAGGAGTCCTGGGTTCAGTTTCCCACTGTGACACTGCCATACTCCATGAACTTATCATAACCTCTCTGAGCCACAAATTTAGCATTTGACCAGTTACCTCATCTTTCTGAGCAACCAAAATACTTTAAAAAATATATTTAAATCTGAATTTAGATTTAGCAGAATATTATTTCTTTAATTTCTATTTCCTTTAGCCACTAAATTAAAATTATAACTATTATGACATCTTATGTTGTTAAATAATTGAATTGTTAACACTGTTTTGAAGTAACGATGTTTCTAATGGAATTAATTAATAATATTTTGGGGTTTTTTTACTGATGAAAGTGAGAGAAAAAGTGTGCATATGTCAGTATTATAGGCTACAATTAAAGAACCTATAAAGATTATTTTATAGGAAAAAATGTGTTCATGCATCAGTAAGTATGAATACAAATAAATATGAATTTCATTAAATATCTAAATGACATGATACAAAAAATGATTTTTCTGGTACAATTTTGTTAGCTCACAGTATGCCTTAAATTATGTATAAACAAAGAATTCCAAATTCTTTAGAACATTTTGTGTGTGGTGAAATGAAGTAGACTTTAAGTCAGATCTACTCACATTTGAATCCTGACCCTTCTGTTTATTAGGCGAGTGGCTCGGGCAACTTACTTAACTCTTCAGTTTATTATTTTTTAAACTCAAAATAATGCTACCTTCTTCTGTGTGATTTTATAGGATTAAATGAGAACTATTGCATATCACCTGTAGCTTTGTGCTGCAATTGGGTGAATGTGTTCAATGCCATGTAGCCTTTATTATTACTGAAAATCCATGAAATCATAATTCCCAGTTTAGTAGTTACTTTTTCTTTGCAAAATATCAGTGAGACTTGGGCATGTTGAAGGAGAGTTTCCTTAACTGTTGGCTGAGGAGGTAGACTTCTTTAGGGGGACTCATGGGGTTGTGCTGTCCTGCTGGCCAGGCTGGCTTGGGAGGCTCTATCTATCCATCAACAGTGATCCCAAGGAGCTATCAGGGAAAGTGAGGGTTCACAAGCCTGCCCTCAGATGCTGGCCTGGTGGTTATCTGAAAGAAGCAGCCTGCAGAGTAGTGGGTACCCTGGAGATAAATTTGGTGTGAATTCAGTTTTGCCTGTTTGTT